TTTCTTTGAGTATCAACAACATAATGCCGTTTTTTTTTATTCACGTATCATTCCTTTTGTTTTAAGTATTCTGCCATTTCCTTTCTTTATCACATACTACCTGCATTTTTATCTTCAATATTTTCATTTTTTCAATTTTTCTTCTTCAAAATTTAAAAATTCTTAAATATTTGAGAATACTTAATAACTTTAATTTTCTTACACATACTTTCTACATCACTATTTTTATATATTTAATAATGATTCTTAAATTTCTTTTTAATTTTTAATGGATAAATCAAGCAAGATAGAAGAATGTGCACGACAATGGGAAGAACACAGAGGCATAATCTTTCAAAATGTAACAGATATAAATTATTCACTTATAATTATTTCTATAGATTTGATTAGTTATTAAAAGTTATTCATTTTAATTATATTACTTTGTAGTTTTTTGTATTTTTAAACCAACTCTATGTAAAATTATTATTAAAGTTGTTAATTATTATATAAATTCTATTTATTATATTACAATTCTAATAAATTTATTAATATCTGCGAACACTCCGCCGAAGTAGATACGTAATACTGAAAAATATCTTATGTATTTGGTTTTCTAATGTTGAATGATTATCTCTCTTCTTTTCTCTCTTAAATTCTTCGTTTAAAACTAAAGAAAAAACTCATCTCTCTCATTTTTATTTTTATTTTTATTTTAATATTTATGTTATATTTTTAAAGAAAATTGAAGAAACTATTAATTTCAAAAGAGGCAGAATGCTACATATATGCGGCAAAACTTGAAGGAATTTCAAATGATCTTTTTTACACAAATATATATTTTCCATGCAACTATTGAAATGAGTGTACAGAAGATACTTCTATGGAATTGTACATATATTCTAATTTATTCACATTTCTTAAATTTTGTTTATTATATATTTTTCTCTTTATACGTTGTCTATTTTACTTAGTTTTTGAAGAATAATTTATATGTTTTTTTGTCTAACAAGAACATGAAACTTTTAATCTCTCAAAATTTTGTTTATTTCACTTTATATGAAATTAATTTATTTGTAGGTTTTATTTGTATTTATCTCCCTAACTTTTATTTATGATTTTTTTTTATTCTCATAAAAAAAATTTCTTTTTATAATATTTATTATGGTTTCTCTAAACTCTAAATATATTCTGTAACTATTATTTATTCTATAACTATTATTTATTCTATAACTATAGATAAAGATAAAGAAGATAGATGATTTTGGGTAAACCTATTTCATTCCTATTTTATCCTTTAAGTTCTATGCAATTTATTTAATTTTTAAAAATAAAGTGCTAACAAAATGATACGGTTTTTTTATAAGTTGGTTTTTTTAATGGAAAAAAAACCAATTTTGATAATTATGCACCTCTTACAAAAATGATGGAAGTGCAAAACACACTTATAAATGAATAGAAAATGAAAATTCATTCATTCAGTGACAACATAAAAAAAATATATCATCATACTCCACTATTTATGGTTTGTGAAAGATAAATAGAGAAAAAAAAATTTCATCTTCATCTCTTATTTGATCACCAATCTCTAATTCCTTCTCTAATTCTTTATCATACTTCATTGTTAATTGATATGAAGTTTCTTTTCCTTTACAATGTTATGATTATTTCTTTAAGAGAGAATTTGCCTTTATTTTATAATCTATTTTGTTGATTTTGCATTTGGTTGTTGCAATTAAATATCAAATTATATTGATTTGGTTAGAGAATATTATTAAAAACAATGAAACATTATTTTTAAGTGTCTTTCTTTTTAAACCCATTGGTCTTAAAGATAAGAAATATATGAATTGTTTATTTATGAATTGGTTCATCTGTATATAATACAATACTAATAATATAATATAAAACGAATAATAAATATTAAAGATTACACACACCTCCAAGATAATGCAGGGAAATGAGAATTAAATGTTAAAACATTTCTTAAAGTATTGCTTCAATAAATGAAAGAGCTTTGTTACAACAATCTTTGGAAGCATTTCATTGACCATATACTTAATAAAAAATTAAATTAATAAACATATATATATATATATATATATATATATATATATATATATATATATATATATATATATATATATATATATATATATATATATATATATATATATATATGATAAATAATTTAAATTAAAACCAAAATCAAATAAAAAATATATTAATGAATTACTTCATTTGTTTTGCAGTGAAACTAGAGATATTTCTGATTTTGATTTCATGGTTGACCTTCCTATTAAGCAATAATGTAACTTAATATCTGTATTAATGTTTATGTTTAGTTGCTTAATAAATTGTGAGAAAGATTTTTGTTCTTCTTCTATCTAAATCTTCTTATGGTTTTGACTAATCTATAGCAATATATAAATACAAACTTAATGTTTCATCATATAAATAATTTATATTAAAATCAATATAAATAGCTTATAGTAAAATTAAATTTATAAAAAAATACACTGTTAATATTTTTGCGCGTTAGCGCAATAAAAAAAGCGGACAAACGGGCACGGATGTGTCCGTTTGGGCGCTAGTTCTATATAATAGGTATAATTGATTTACTAAAAATCACACAACATATTATTTAATTAAAAATCTGTTTAAAAATCACACAACATAATATAAATCTATTTTTTTAATTTGTTTCAAATAAATAATCTATTTTTTTAATTAAAAATCACATAACATATTATTTTTATTTTTGCTTTCTAAAATTTAAAACAACAACAAACCCAATATACAATACATTATATCACAATATTTCTAAAATCTAAAATTTTTTAACCTAACTATCAAAGTTTTCAACAACAACAATACAATACATAATAAATATAAACTTAAAATTCATAAATACCTCTAATTAAGCTTCCAATATAGAGGACTTCTTATAAAATTGTTAGATCTGAAGAAAAAAAATTAACAGTTAATAATAAAAAAATATAAAATAAATTATAACATCAAACAATCACAAAACCAACTAATATATCACCTTAAATTTTTTGCAAATGAAACTTTGTTGAGGTAACAGCACCAGCACAGCAGCTGAAGAGAAAAACAAATGGGGAAGAAGAAGGAGATGTGGGAGTTTTGCAAGAGACGAGGACTTGAAGAAATTCTGAGATTTGGTTTATATAAGGGAGGTTGCGACGTGGCATTAACATCAGAAAGTTGCGACGTGCAGACCAGGTGGGTAGTTTGCGACGTGGCAAACCCTTCAGAAATTAGCGACGTGAAATGAAGGTCGCAACTTCATTTTCATTAATTGCCAACTTATCTCATAAAGCTTGCGACGTGGCATTTACATCAGAAACTTGCGACGTGAATTTAAAGACGGAACATCCCCCAATATTAAATTATTACCGTTGGTCCACTAAATGCCAACGCAACGGGAAGATAATTATTGATGTAAGTGGGTTGCGAAGTGAAAATCATGTGGGTGTTTTGTGACCTTTTTGAATTTTAACTTCCCAAGTACACGCCACAACAGAATTTGTGGAAAATTCAAATTTCCCTCTCCCTTAAAATTCCAAATTTTCGTTTCAGAGTTTGGCATAGCAAAGTTTATTAATAAAAAATGTTAGTGACGTGGTTATCACTTGGTAACACAATTTTTTATCCACGTGTTTACCACGTCACTAATTCACTAGGGAAATACAACATTTTCTTGTAGTGAGAAACATTCATTATACATGGTATTTACACACCACAACTTCATTCACCAATTTCTTTTTCTCTATTGCTCACTCTTTTCAAACGTCCTTTTTGCACATTATTTCTTATATTCCAAACAAGCATTCTTTTTCTTTTGTTTTTCACAGTTATATTCACATTTTCTTTTCATACTTGCTTGAAATTTTTCAAAATTTTTAGTAACCTATCACTTTTCGTTTCACTCTCCCCAACTTAGTTTCAATCAAATCTCAAGTGAATGTTCCTTACTTTTTATGGTGTAACAAGTTTGTGGTTGTCGGCGACAAACGTGGTTCAAAGGCTTATTAAGCAACCAAGTCTCTCGTCAAGATGCTTGAGCCATGTAAGTCTCTTGCTATGTGTTAGAGCAATGAAAAACTTAATCAAGTTGATTGATTGAGCAAAAGTCTTGAATATGTGAGATTTAAGCAAGGAAGTTTCAGATCGAGGGTCTGAACATTGAACTTGAGGGGTTTAAGTAGGAATTCTTAGGTTTGTGGAACTTGAGCAGGGAAGTCTTCGAATATGGGTCTGAGCAAGAAGTCTTGGGGCAGAGGGGTATGAGCAGGAAGTCTCGGGTCTGAGGTACTTGAGCAAGAAAGTCATACGCTCTTGATACCACTTGTTGGGAAAAAAACAAATCATAGAGAAAAAAGAGGAACACAATAACAACACAAAAGATTAACATAAAAAGTCCAAAATCAGAGAAAAGAAAAAACCACGATTATTGTCAAATGATAACCAGAGAATAATACTGTAAAAATTATTATAATACATAAACTATCCTTAACCACCCCAAGACCTCAATACACCCACACTCTAAAACAAATATATAATTACCAATCACAATACTTTAACACAGGAGCATAAGAAAAAAAATATAAAAAATTAAATTCAAATCTAAAATACTTTTTGATTGGCGCATTTTATTATAAAAAAAAATGGAATGTTTTAAACTTTCTCATCCTTTACAAAATTGAACAACCTAAAAATTTATTGTCACATATATATTTTTCAGCAATTCCAACACTTAACTCTCGCATATTCATATATGATGCTTCAATAGAGCTATCAGCAAAAGTTGGTTGAACGGACCCGCCGTATTTTAGACTGATTAATAAATTGAAGGCAAGATATTTTGCCGTCCGTAGGATTACTATTCCTTCTTTCTCATTTCCTCTCTAACAAACAAACAAAAACTACTCCTACTTCGATTTCAACCATAAATTCATCCACCAAGTCAACGAAAACTCATCATCTATCCCCAAACAATGTTCAACAACAACTACGGCACCACCGGCATAAGCGAGATACAGGAGGAACAAGACATCATCAACCACCAACACTACCTTGGCAGAATCGATCATGAAATTGAAGAACAAGACTCTATTTATGTTGCAGTTGGTAAGAGCGATACAAGCATGGAAGCTCTCTCATGGACACTCAATAACCTAGCCACTCATTCCACCATGCTCTATCTCATTCATGTTTTCCCCGAAATCAAACACATTCCACATCCATGTAATCATCTCCGTTCTTTCTTATTGTTTTTACCGTGTCAAATGGATCTAATTGTTATAGATTACATATGATATATGCAGTGGGAGTAGGAATGATTGCAAGGAATCAAGTCAGTGCTGAGCAGGTAGAGATTTACATGGAGCAAGAAAGAAACAAGAGGAGACAACTCCTTCACAAGTTCATCCAATCTTGCTCTCTTTCCAAAGTTAAGGTTGATACCATCTTAATAGAGAGTGATTTCGTTGCAAAAGCCATCCTTGACCTAATTCCTATTCTTCACATATCTAATTTAGTCATTGGAGCCAACAAATCCCATATGAGGTATAACAAAAACGTGTTTGATATCTCTGACATGTGCAGACACATGCGATTATATTCAATTTATTCAGTATATCAAAGTGTCTGTGTCGAGTCGTATCAGTGTTTATTTGAATACATTTTTTATGAGCAGAAAATCGAGATCAAAGAAAGGAAATGGTGTGGCTGATCAGGTAGTACAGAATACACCAGAAAGCTGCAAGGTTAGAATTATCAGTGAAGGTAAGGAAGTAAATGATGAGCAAAGGATGATGATGATGATGACACCTTCTCCTAAGAAAATTGCCACTACAAACTCTGAAAATAGTGACAACACAAAAGAAAATGATTCAGTTTTATGTGTTTGTTTCAAACCAAAGTTTAAATGACAACATTCATTATCATGTGTTACTCAATTTGTTACCAGATATAGTTACTACATTTTTCATACAAAATTATATAGTTTGGTTTGTATTGAATTTGCTACTGTTTGTAGTGAATGGTAAAATTATGAAAATATGTGAAATTTTCACTTGTATATCTGCAGCAACTATTATATAAATCAGATTCAACATAGACATTGTTTTATTTATTGTGCATTAATTGTGTAGTTTCCTTTCATTTTCTGGTTGGCACAATATTGTTGTTATCTTCACCCGAATTGGTCAATATGCTGTACGAGTATTCTTGGTTATGGCGGATAAAAGTAAATTTCTTAATAAAAGAAAACAAAATATAAACAAACAAAAAAATCACACTAATAAAATAAAAAATAAAAAAATGATAATGTAAAGTATAACTTTTTATAATATGTTTTGTAGAAAATATGTGATCAATCTAACTTATATTGAGTTTTATTTTTAAAAAAGGTGCATTTTAAAACATAATAAGTAAATAAAATAAAAATTATATTTTATTTATAGTTTGAGACAGGAAAATGATTTATTTATTTATAAATTGTGAAGGAGGGAGTATTGTATTACTAGTATTCTTTGTAGTTTGACTTTCATAGGGAGTGGCTGGCCTCCAATTGCCGCATCACCAAAGGAATATCCTGTTTGTGATTCTGTTATTCTCTATTGACTTGATCAATATAATTATTTTAAGAAACTAATTAATAGCACGTGTATAGACATTAAATAGCAAATTATATCTTAATTTATTTAATACTTAGGCCAGTCAATGAATTTGCAAATACTTTGCTTTGTCTAATATATTTTCAGTTTAAAATATAATTAATATACAGGAATATATTATATTTTTGGAGTCAAAATTGAATCAAACCGACTGGTTCAATCCATTGGACTTGAACCAAAATTCTCATTGATTTATTTGAACCTAAAAGTTGACATGCAGAAGAACCAATATTTAAATCTATAAATTAGTCCAAAATAGATAAAAATAGAAGGTTTAGACAATTTTTACCTATCAAATTTTGTTTTTGATTTAATTTTTTTTCTTCTCTAATCAATCTTGTATACCATAACCTTAAGAAAACCAAATAGAAAAATTAAATTAAAAATTATTTTCAATCTACCATATAAAAAAGTAGTATGTTATGGAAAAGAGTATATTACCCTTTTCACTGGCCAAAGCTATTATTTGGAGGATATTTTTATAATCTGTCTTTGTTCGTACGTGATTTTCGCGTAAATAACCTCTGACCTTCCTATGCGGATTTGCTTGCGGGACTGGTCAAACTAGTCCCAGGACGGTTTTTAGTTTCAGGCGCGTTATTTGTTTGGATAATGATGCACTTTGAATTTTAAAGACTAGGCAATGTAAAAGACAAAATTTTAATGTAGATTTTGATACAGAGACTTAAATGTCTAAAATACTGGGTAAACTTAAAATAAAACTTAAAGTAGAATAGAACAAAGACTTAACGTAAAATGGAAAAGTATAGGAAAAAAAGTGTTTGGACGTATTCGTACATTTTGGAGTGACAAAGTAAACTCTTTTATCTATAGCGCGGTACTCAGAGTGTTTTTCTTCCAATACTGACAAAAGACGCCTCTATCTCCTCCAAATTCTTGCTTTATATAGGCATATGGAGTAATTGGCAAGGGGCTTCAGGATGCGCCACGTGGCATCCCACGTCTCTGGGAACTACCTCCACGTTCTCATTTAAAACGGACTTCCCGCCAGTCTTCTAAGTTCTCCTGTCGAGAATGCTTTTAGTTGGTTTCTTCTCTGTGTCGATCGACACAACTCTTGTCGATGTGCGCCCCCTATACTGTCGAATCGGGGGTGATGTTGGTCGTATTTAGTACTGTCGGCCTTCGTTCTTTATGCAGGTGGTTAGTCGACTTCTTACCCCTTGTCGAGGTTAGTTGGCTAAGTTTTCAGCCAACAAAATGCCCCACCGAGACACAAGCTTCGACGAAGATTTATGTCGACTGAGACGCTTAATGTCTTTCAAGATCTGACTTTTCATCTGTCATGGCTTAGCTGTCGATACGTCCACATGTCGGTCGCTTCTTTAGGTAATGATGTCACTTTTTTTTTCTGAAACACAACTTCCAAGGATTTCCATCACCTTTTCCACTTCCCCACTTTATTAACCACTCCTAATCATGACTTCCCCCACGAATGGGTTTTGAAAAGCCTCTCCTTTTCGTCTTCTATATTGATGTTTGGGTATAAATACCCCCTTAAGTTCTTACGTTAAAACTTTCCTCTTCAAACCCTCATTTTTGCATTTCTTCTGCTTCCTATACCAGAACTTCATCAACACCTTACAAAGCTTCCATGGCTTCTTCTTACCAAACTTCTCAAACTACCGGGAACAATCCTATAGCTTTTATTCTGTCAGAAGCTGAGATGCATAAACCTCTTCCAAATCCCATGTCCTCTGATGAAGCTATCATAGTTGCGTGGAAGAAACAAATGTTGATCCCCTTTGGGGTGGTTGGTCATCTTCATGCGTTCCACGACCCATATCCTCTTGGCAAACCAAACCATGAGGCAATGCAACCCTTCTTCCCTGGCTTTCTTGCTGCTCTTTCGACTAATTCGTGTTCGGGGACTTGTGTGAAGCAACACGCTTTCAACAGTCGGAACCTATTCAGGTACTGATATACGGATTCCGCGGTTTTCCTCTTTACGCTAGCTAATTCCTTCAAACTGATCTTTGATTGATTCTTAAATAGGGTTCTGATACACGCCCCGACGTGGTAGTGTTGGATGAGAGTTCCCGCTCACAGGTAGTCCCTACTGGTCCGTCGAACTCCCCTCCGGCCACTCCTTTGAGGCGAAAAAAGAAAGCGCCTACGAAGAAAACGTCCCAAAAGGATGTCGCGTCGGCCCCGACACTTGACGTGCTAGAAGACCTGACTGAGGTCTTTCAGAACGTGGCCACCAGAGCCTTTTCTCCGCCTAGACCTCTTGAGGTACTACTTTTCCCATTCTTCTGTCGATAACTGTTATCATGTTTCTCTTCGTCATTTGTTAGCTTTGTTTGTCATGCAGGAGGTCGAAGACCCACCATCCCCCACTCTTGCTGAAATCATGGCGAATATTACGGGACAGTTTGTTGAGACTACTCTGCCGCCAAGTCCCCAGAAGGTCGACGAGTTCCCAGAGGCTTCGTCGAAAGACATTTCAAACCCTAGGCCTGCGTTGTTGTTTGATCTTGAGGAAGACGTCGAAACTAATGCTCCTAACAGCGCTGAGGTGGACACTGGTGCTACTCAAGTGGCTGGACCTTCTTCACCCCCGAGGGATGTTGTCACCACTTCACTTGATACTCCAAAAGCTATCCTGGCTACCAAGTTATCTAACCTTGCGGAGGCCCTAAGAGCTCTCCTTAAGCTTTGTGGGACCGTCGAGGCCGTTAACCCCGCGAGGTCGAAGAACACCGTCAACTCGGCCGAAGACAGTACTTTCGAGCTTAAGCTGCAGAAGTTGAGGACTTACTTATTTGGGGAAGAGTTTGTCGAGGCTGCTGCGGACGCACATGTATCTCGAGATGTCTTCAAAATCTTGGACGCCCTTTCAGCTTTCGACGTACCAGCTTCGACAGCCTCCTTTTCTGATTGAGCTCGAAGCCTTCCTGGCCCAACTGGCGAAAGATGCGTCTCTGTGTAAACATGTAGATGATCAAATCCATGCCCTTATTAATGACATAAAACGGGAATGGTATCTTAGCGCTTTCTGTGAAAAGAATTTGCAAGATAATGAGGCCTCTCAGAAGACCCGCTCCGACAAACGCCTGGCCCTTGACCATCAGATAGCTGGTTATTGAGCACAAATAGTGGAGCTTGAGCAGAAGATTGCTGGTGTTGAGAAGGAAAATGCCTCTTTGGATGTCGACGCCCCTTTGCCTGCCAAGGAAACTGTCGATCATGATGTGGCTAAAGGGATTGCTCATGTCAAAGCGGCCTTGAAGATTAAAGCTGTTATTGAAAAGCTGCATCAGAGGAAGTTCGTCCTGGAAAGTCGATTGGACCATGAACACACCCTGCTGGAAGGTTTTAAGGCCCAATTTCCGAAGTGACTATGTTACTATTTTGTTGTTTTTTGTAATCTGTGTTGGCCGTCCACATCCGTCCGCTCATTTAATAAAATTTTCATTTACCCTTCTGAATTTCTTGAAGCATAGGCCTATAGGCCTTTAAGTATTTTCCGTTTATCCGGATGACTCGTCGGTCTCCTCCGACTTCTTGGATCTCATAGGCATTTTGACTGAACATTTTGGATACTTGGAATGACCCCTCGCAATTCAGTGACCATTTAACATATTTTGGATCCTTTTGATCCATCGGAAGGATTGCTTTCCATACGTAATCCCCGACTATAAAAAACTTTCTTTGGACCCTCTTGTTATATGTCTGGACAACTCGCGCCTTCTGATGTAATAATGCGTCGAGTGCCTCTACTCTTTCTTCATCTACGTCTACCAGTTCATCCATCATCATCTCCCAATATCGTTCCGACAGGATCTCATGTTGCTATTGAGTACACACTGATTGTAGGTGAATCTCTAATGGCAAAACGAAGTCATACCCAAACACTAAACGAAACGGCGACGTTCCGATAGATTCTTGTGTAGAAATGTAATATACCAAGTCACAGGTGTAGCAGTAAAAAACTGTGAGTGTAAGCTATTGACTAACTTAACTCATAAAACAAGAGTCACCACCAAACTTTTATTTTATCCAAAAGAAAAGGAAAAAGAGCTAACAAAAGCTAAACAAGTTCTAAAATAAGAACAAATAAACAGAGACATGGTAAGGGGATTGGTTACGCTACGGGAAAATTTTAGCATCCAAAACATCTATAGTACTCTATAGGAACCCTTTGAAATATCTACGCTTTTTGGTTTGAAAATGTTTGTTTGAAATGAGATTGGGGAGATGAGAAGAGAAATATTTTTAAAGATTTTTGT